AATATTCGCATAGTCATTCTGGTCACATAAGTTCCACGGACCCTCAGTGACATTTTCAGTAAGCAGATTTTTAACGGCATGCTAAAGCTTGAAAGTGATTTCTTTTTATTGTTGCTGGAAAATGTTCAGACTGCTTTATAGGGTATTTATGATTTTATGAGCTATCGCTTAAATGAACAGTGACAGAATATAGCCACTGATTACCGTTCACATCATTAAAGTGCTTTAGACATGTTCCTCTACAGTTGACCTTTGCTAGTGAAACTAAAGACTCCTGCCCTGAAGTTTCAGCTATTCCAACAGACATAATTTCAAGACAGCGCCAGTACGAACAGTTCTGGTCAAGGCATCCTCATATTTTTTGTAATAAAGCATATGCTAAGGTAAATTTTAAAAAATCATATTTTGTACATTTCTTACCTTCCCCTTTGGCATGACAACATAGCTCAGAATTCCGAAGTACGTAGTGTCAGCCCTGCCTACTTTATTTCTGATAGATTACAAAGAACACAGACATCTCCTCATCTCCTCCCCCTCCTCAAACGCACGTTTTCAAGCATTTCCTATTGAGTCTTTGGGGCCAAAACGAACTGAAATATGCCAAAAAAGCTCATGTACTTTTTCCAGCGACAAGTGTTTTTCTTATTGCGACACAACGCGCAGATGTGAACAGGGCCATAGAAATGAATAGGTTTTTTTAAAAACATATTTTTTAGAGTTTTTTTAGGGCAGAAAAAGCACTACAAAATGCTCAGTGTGAACCAGGCCCTAAGGCTGGATTCACACCTAGGAGTATCGAATATGCACATTTGTCGCACGTTTCGTGCAGCACATTTTAACCGCGATTCGCGGTAAAAACGCACGTCAGACGCGCGTTTCCGAGGGCTACCTGGCTGTATCCCAATGGATACGCGCGGCAAATACGCCCCAAAAAAGCTCCTGTACTTCTTTGGGCGTAGGGCGTTTTTGCAGTGCGTTCCTACGCGCTGTAAACACGCCCAGGTGGGAACCATGCCCATAGGCAATTATTGGTTTTCACATGTTGAGCGTTTTACAGAGCGTAGGAACGTTGTGAACCAGGCCTTAGTGCTATCCTGTTTTTGTGTTCCCAGGGGCTGGTTCACTTTAGGGCTCAGAAAAAGGGGTGTTTTCTTGAATGCACCATACGGCATTTAAGCACAGCAAGGGGATTTTCTGGGAATGTAGTGTGGCAGGTGTGTGGATCATAAAACTGGCTGAATCGGATTGCCACTATTTTAACAGATAAAAAAAGTTTGCATATTGAAATGTGTATTAAGCTGTTTGGCTAAAATTCTGTTTTATAGTTGTTTATATCTACATACATTTTTTGTTATCTCAGAAAACCCTCCTAGTTATTATCTTAGGCTACAGAATGATTAGCCTTTATGTTGTAGGGATCTTAGTGTGGGTATGACTAAGTAGTTCATCAAGAGACACTGGGCAGTGCTGACACCATTCAGTTCAAACACATGCTGTGTGTTTTCAGCCACAAGGCTTAAAGGGTTTCTAAACCCTAAAGTTTTTTTGCATATATGCAAAAAGTTATTTAAAAAAAAAAAACGCTTTAAAAGCGGTTTAAACTTACCCCTGTCTTCGCCGCGCACTCACCTCTGAAAATCTGAAAATGCTCGGGCGGCCTCCAAGCATCTTGGGGCGGGCGCATGCTCAGTTCGGATTTTCGGCCGGGAGACGAGGAGAGACACAAGGTAAGTCTATGGACGTGTGCACCCTCATGCAGACACCGTGGGACAGGAAGTGCCAGCAAGGACAGAGGAGTCAGCGCTGGATCAGAGACCCGCAGCAGCGCTGGAGGGAAGGCTGAAAACGACAGGAAAGAAGAGGAAGATCGGATTAAGAGACATCATTTAAGGTAAGTGCTTTAATTAACATTGGGGGAGGGAAAAAAGTTTTTGACTTTAATGTCACGTTAAGAGCTGAGTGCAATTGTAGAAGATCAACAGGTATTTTTCTGTAGTTACAGGGTTAGGGATAAAACATGGTAAAAAGTTATTGCAGAGATGTGCTGCATATGTTTATTTTTTTTATTTTGCCTTGACATTAAAGGAGAACTATGGTTTAAGTGTGTTTCCCTATAATCCTCCTAAGGGGCACGGGAGGGCACAAACTAGCATCCTCCCGTGACCCAAAGCTCAGTATACTGCGAGCAACAGTTCACCGTATACTTAGACCGCCGCAGCCGAGCTGGATCCCGACAATGCTGTCAAGATCCACCCAGCTGCCTGATTGACAGCTGGCTCTGCCTATCTAGAGGCAGAGCCAGCTGTACCCGCCCCCTCCCCGTCCGTTCCGCCAGTCAGTGCTGGAGGATCGGAGAGGGATCCCTGCAGGGAACCGTGAGCGAGCGACGGTATGTGTTCGCTCACTTCCCGATCTATTGAGCCAACGTGTGAAAGTTTCATTGTCACACGTCAGCTCGAACTAAGAGGTTAAGTGAAAATCACTCACCTCATAGTTCTCCTTTAAATTCCTAAATTGACCTTAAAGTGAACCTGATATGTAAAAACCATCCTATTTTTAATGTTCCAATCATTTGCTATATTTTTCTATGCCATATGCCCATTGGAAGATTTCTCTTAGCTCTACAGTGCATTTTCTATGTGGATTCACCTGCATTTCACCAGATTAAGCCATATTTGCACCAAACCCAATCATTTGATATCAGGTTGTAGTAACATTTACCTTATTTTTAATATAGACAGTATTACTTTTGAACAGGGCTGAGACGCCTAGCGAATACAAAATCCATAACAAGTGCTAATTTTCCACAAATAGGAAAGTGCAGCTATTTTTTTTTTTTTTAATGAAATAACGAAGAATAATCACCAGAATGTAAAAAACCTTGTTGAATCCCCCAGGGAACCAAGTGCATGTAGGACTTAGTCCTGTTCAGATCTGTGCTGTGGTTGGGAAATACTAACTTATATTTTGTTGTTTGCACTGGCTGCCAGCTCCACCCCAGACTGAAGCCCAAATTATAGGCATTCCTTAGGAGGAGTTACGAATCAGAGATGCTCGCTGAAGATCAGCAGTGAGTGTTCCCTCAGGGGCACGGACTCCCGCTCCAATACTTTATCTTTATGCCGCCTGCTGCAAACCCAGCTGCTGTGGTAGTCCATTGAGTTGTCTGGAAGTACCTGGAGGTCATTGCCTTGTCACTGTACTCACAATAGGGGTGGATCTGTTAGGGCTACAGTATGTAATTGATCTGTCGGCAGATAGAACACACAGCCAGCTAAAAGATCCACTGCTATTGTGAGTGGTTGTGTTGTGATATGAGATGACCCCTTCCCCTGCTCTGCTGAATAACATGATCTTTGGCATGTGCCTACTGCCAGAGACAAGAACTGTTAGTCAGATCTGATTATGTATTTGTCTGCTTGGGAGCAATGTAGCTGGACAGCAGTGGGGAATGAGTTGTTCAACAGTACTGCTAAGCAACCACAGGAGGGTATGAACTGGAATGACTGCTACTTGCACTTGGTCCCTTGGGGGATTCAACTATTTTTTACATTGTGGCGATGCTTCTTCTTTTAAGTGTATTTTAAAGTTAAAGGGCTTGTTGACCAGACATTGCTCTTTCTTAGTGCCTGATACAAGAAGTATACATACTGTATATTTGTATTCGCCAAAGCCCGAGCAAATACAGTACACGACTGACACACACCCCTCCCGGCCCAAACAGTTTGGGCAGGGACATTCCCAGCCCACACTTCACAAAGGGGCCCCTGTTGCTGATTGGGCCAGGAACTGGGTTTCCACCAAGCCCCTGCACATCACTATTTGGGACCAAAACGCTGATTATTTAAATCAAACGGGGTTATTCACAAAAGGGTGAAGAGTTTGGAGAAGGCAGGAGAAGTGAACAATCTAGGGCAACATAGCTGAACTGGAAAGTGAGCTGAATTAGAGAATTTTGTCCAAATCAGCTATGTTGTCCTAGATTGTTCACTTCTCCGGCCTTCTCCAAACTCTTCACCCTTGTGTGAATAACCCTGTAAGTTATAGAAAGTAAATGTTGATCTACATTTTTTTTCCGTGTGTTGTACGTTACAAAATGTATGTAATTGTGACACATTGTATCCTGTTAATATGAAAACTAGATCAAAACTAGCAAAAGTGTTTCCCTTAGCAGCCAACCAGCTTCCAGGTATCATTTTTTTTTTTTTGTTCTAGTTTTTTGTATATGAGTCCTAATAAGTATATCCTGTTTTCCATGCGTTGTAATCAGGTGATAAAGGTCAACTCCAAGAAAATGTATAAAAAACATTTTAGTTCACTTATGTATTCCTTCGAAAACCATAAAATAATTTGTCTTCAATTAAGCTAGCGGAATTATCTTAAATGTATCTTTATATTAGGTTGCCAAGCTACAGCTTGAAATCAGACATGATTTTAGGCCTATAAGATAATGGGTAGGAGAGCCAGTTGGGGTGTTAAATCAGAGCTCAGCGTGTGCTGATATTAAATAGAGCAGTTAGGAGTAGGGTGAGTGGAGCAGAAGATGTAGAAATGCAAGCTCTATAGCAGGTGTGGGCAACCCTGGCCCTCTAGCTGTTGTGAAACTACAAGTCCCATGAGGCATTGCAAGTTGCAGTTACAGGCATGACTCCCAGAGGCAGAGGCATGTTCGGATTTTGTAGATAAAGCTGGAGCCGTAGTTGTCCACCCCTGCAATAAAAAGTGATGCCAGCCTCTTATTGTATGCAGCCATTGAGCATTGCAAATCTGTGTTGACTATAGATGTATGTGTGTCCCTTTATCAAATAGATCTCATATATGTAAATTAATCTGTTTATCTGGAGTTGCCCTTTAAATACCTGCAAATTTTAAAGCTTTGCATGAAGAACTTTGCTTTTCACAGTGGATTTCTGCGCTTTGCTTATGTGTTGTTGTTTTTTAGCTCGTTGTGTACCATTCACGTACTGACGGTTTATTTCCTTTTTCCTGGCTCTGCGTAGTGAGTTTTCTAAGGAAAGAGAAAAGGCCAAAGCCAGAGGAGACTTTCAGAAATTGCGAGAGAAACAACAGCTGGAAGAGGACCTGAAGGGTTACCTGGACTGGATCACCCAAGCCGAGGACATCGATCCTGAGAACGATGAGGAGGGAGAAGTAGAATGCAAACGCAACAGTACGTATTCCAATCTGACGTGAACCCGATGTAACAATATAAAGGATAATTCTACCCTCTATGTCAGTCCTATTATGTGTCTGGATTTCCACCTACATTACACTAATATACACCTTGTGTTTGGCACATAGTGATTAGCCACAGTGAAAACACACTATTTTTATACCTTTTAAGCCTTCTCGCCTTCCCCCTTCAGGATGTTTCCTGTAATCAGCATTAACTAGGTAGTTGTCATTCTCAGGCAGTTAAGTCAGCTGGAGATTTAAAGGGGTTAGAACTGCTCCAGAGCCAAGTAAAAGAACTAGCGCTGGCGAAATAACAAGAGAATGTGATTATTTTTTTCTTTATCTATCATTTATTTTGTTAGATGTCAGCTATGTTCAAATACATAAAGAAGAAGCTTTCTATGGCATAATAGCATTTTATTATAGCTGAATTCCAGGCAAACAGCTCAGCACACTGGTGAAATACATTGGCCTATTTGTATGTCTGTCCACCCAGTTCTGAGAGTTAAACAGCTCTGCTACACAGCTCAGCCCTTTCTGGCAGGGCAGGAGATCTGATTTTTCTCTGTTGCTGATCAGTAACACTTATAAGTCTTGTCCATTCCCTAGCCTGTGACTGGCAAGCAAGCAAGAAGCAGTAGACTGAGGAGCTCATCTCTCTGTAATTCTGATCTCTCCTCCTATCAGTTCAACTCCTATCAGTACAACAGATTGGCTCCTTGTACTGCTTCCTCCTACTTTTTACAGCCTGAGCTCTCTTGTACAGGCTTATACTAGGTGAAATTCAGGTTCCTACGCAGATTGCATTTACAAGAAAAGCAAAATTAAACTTTTATGGTTTTACGCAGTGGCATAACTATAGCCATATAGGGTTGCCACCTCTTCTTCAAGCGAAACCCGAACACTCCAGCGATGCACGGTCATTTTTGTGGGAGAATGAGTCGTGGCTTGTTCACATGTAAAAAGTGCCGCCCATTCACATGTAAATATCACAGTAGAGACTATTTTCAGTGGGGGGCAGTAGCCCCTATATTAATTTTGGTTGCCCCTGCCTGCTTGACATCTTGTGTCCGGGTTTCTGCTGCCATGAAACCCGAACACAGCATTCAAAACCCGAACTGTCCGGGTGAATCCTGGACAGGTGGCAACCCTATAGACATAGCAGCCCAGACGGCTCCTATGGGACCTGGGGGTGAAAATAATACAGTACTGTATCATTACGGGTTGGTGTTACTATAGTGTAGAGATTACTTCAGGTGTATAAGAGGAGTCTTTGGGATCTTGGCATCGTTACTCACCTACACAGGGAGGGGTTGTCAGGGGGGCCCCCATGACATTTTTGCTATGGTGCCATGTGATCTGTAGTTATGGTCCTGGGATCGGGGAAAGTATGTTTTATCTCCCTGCACTCCTCTTGTAAAAGAATAAATGTAAATGAATAAATTATGTATTAATGAACCTGGATTGACCCGCATACTGCTTTGGGAACAAATCAAATCTAAAAACTCTTGAGAGATATAAGAGGCATGTGGGTGATCTACCCTTCATTATTAGCACATTTGAAAATCAGTTTTGGTTGGACTGACCATTTAAGTTGTAAGTAAACACAGTTTTAGATAGAAATGGGAAGAGTTAGACCCCCTGGTAAGTGGCTTTGATGATATTTCTATACTGGGCAGATGTTGGCTTGTGATTGCACCCACTGTTGCAATTGGTATCTCAGGTACTCAGGTAACAGGGTGTTCGTAAAGCATTGCATTGCTGAAGGCTACTATGAAGATGAGTACTGGTATCATTACTGCTTGTACTGGGGTAATCATAATTTAAAATCAAGTACAAGTGGAATATTGAGGAGGTCACTCTTCTAATGTGAGGGAAAATAAAGCTACAATGGGAAGGTTTTACTATCGAAATACTGAAGAGATACTAGAAGCTGCAGTCTGTCCCCAAAACCCATTTGACAGTTGGACTTAGTCTTGAAAGACCTAGCATCAGATATGTTTTACATGTTAGGTGCAAGCATGCTATGTAATGTGTAAGTGTAACCCTTAAACAGTTCTGACATTACATTCATCTGGTGGATGGTGCCACCTTTGTTCAGGCATCATAAAGAACCAGCAGCTAGTTCTTGGACTCGGATACATAGATCACCCTCCCACCCCACTGCAGCTTCTTACTAAGTACCAGAGGTAGCTTGCCACCTGTCCAGGATTCACCTGGACAGTTCCGGGTTTTGAATTCTATGATACTGAAAATAGTTTCTACTGTGATATTTACATATGAATGTGTGGCTCTATTTACATATGAATAAGCCGTGACTCATTCTCCCAGAAAAACATCGCTAGAATGTTTGGGTTTCGCTTGAAGAAGAGGTGGCAACACTAACCAAAGGTGGAGGGACCGAGAAAATGCTTGCTCCTGCCTGCAGCAGACTGATCACATCCTCTCACCACTGTGTTACATCCCATTATTTTGAATGGGCTGTCTAACATGATGCAATGCACCTCAACTTGTGAAAACATTCTGCTATATTGCTTGGAGTGTCGAGGTCCCCACTTGAGGCCCGTCTATCATTTTCAATTTGGCCAACACTGTGGTCACATGTAGATGGTGACAATTCAATGTTCCAGCCTACATAAAGTTTGGATTTTGCATGCAGGACATACAGCATATTGGGTGTCTCAGGTGTGCAAAAGTAACTTTTGCAAACATACATGATACCGTGTCTGCAGGCCACTGATTCAAATAATTTACATTATTTCAAGTTACTTGCCCTGGATTTACTGCACTGCATTTATGTGCATTGAGGTTCATTCGAGTTCATGTCACAGAAGAACAGCATTTGCTGGAGGAAATCTTCTACTAATACTAATGACAGTTTACTTCTACCAACAATATATTAAATAATATTACAATCTCTGGCTGTTATCTTGTATTAAATGATCTTCAGGTTATTTGGGTTTAGAATTTTGATAATGCCAGAAGGTATATTTTTCTTAAATGACTGTTTTTTATTGTGCTAAAGTGCTCACCATCCTTATATTATAAAGATGTCTTTTTATCGGAAGTTGTGTAAGGACACTGCTGAGAGAGACATGAAGGCGTCGTTACTGATTTCTTATTCTGATATGCTGATTGTCACGCTGAACGTCCTGCTTTAATACTTTGAGTCACTGATCTAGTACTAGTATGCAAATAAGGGACTTTAAAGGGTCCTTTCATATTTGAAGTGTGTTTCCACTTCTGCAGCCAAATTGGATAGAGGCCTGGACGGCTGCTCCACACAGATCGCAGTGGTCCAGGTCTCCAGCAGCCTTTGGGGTCCGTTCACATCATAACGATATGCTAAATGAATGTGTAGCGCATGCTATCACACAGCGCACCTGGCTAGCAGTACCATGCTCTAGGTGCGTTGCATTGCCATTCATTTTACATTGCAAGCTCTCATGTTCAAGGCCCTCCTGACCATCTTGTTTTGAATTGCATTGTAACTGTAATGTCTCCGTTATATTGCACAAACTGTTGGTGCTATATCAATCCTGTGTAATATAATAATTTGAATGGCACCCAAACACACTTCCTGGCAGCTATGTGTCGCAGTGCAGCGCAATATATGAGGCCTCAATACTGTGCGTTGCGTTACAGCGTGGTGAATAAAAGTAGTGCACGTACTAGTATTGTGGTACCGCACGTAGCACTGCGCTGCAATGCATGGCTGCCAGAAAGTGAATTACTGTGCATTCAAATGAATGGCAATGCAACACATCTAGGGTATAATACGGCATGCTAGGTGCACTGTGCGAAAACATAAACAAATGGTACCGCATGTTTAGTGCAATGCTATTATGTGAACGGGCCCCTAATCAAAAGCATGCATTTTGCATCCTCCTCAAGAAATAAGATCCTTCTTAGGGCCCATCCACACCGAATCTGTTGCATTGCGTTCAGAGTTGCGATACATTTTTCAACGGATGCTGATGGAAGGGCACTGAAAAATTAATAGGTGTGAATGGGGCTAGTTCCCACCGGATTCCTTGCGTTACGTTGTGCTGAAAAAAAAAAGAACATGCACTACTTTTTTTCAGCGCAAAGTAATCCAACGGATCCGGCGTGAACGAGCCCCATTCACACCTATTCATTTTTCGGTGCCCTTCCATTAGCATCTGTTGAAGAATGGATTACAACTCAACCGATCAAAAGGAAATAAGAAGATACAATTGCAAACAAACCGCCCCTCCGTTAACTTGCGATTGCCTTCTGATTTTGGTGTGAATGCACCCTAATCTCCCTATGTCTATACAGTATAAACATAATGGCATTGGTTCTACTACCAGAATCAAGCTGTTTGTGTTTATTTGAAACAATTGCCCGAGCTTCTGCATTGCAATATATTTTGGAGCTGTGCGGGAAGAGCACAGCCTAGAACCGGGGCCTGGAACCAGAAGGCATCTATTGATGCTCTAGATCAAAGCCTGCTGTTCCAGAGTTTGTAAATATTTATAGGGCTGTTTAATACACACGCTGCGATGAAAGAGCACAGTGAAAAGGGTGAGTTGGTACACTAGTAGAATTCTGACAATTGAGTGGTAATTTGCTGCACGCACAATATGCCTGTAGGATAGCCACGCGAGAGATACATTGCAAAGCCGTCACTGAAGCTGATCTAATGTATTAAACAGCAGGAAACAGACATTCACAGAGACAGCGCCTGATTTATGCCAAATCCACGCTGTGAGCTCAAACACCTCACTGCAGACGCCAGCTTTCCTTATGCAACAGCAGCCAACGGATTAATGATACAAGGCAGGAACCTGGGCTGGGATGTAACAGTGAGTGACACACATTGCAGAGTTCAGGCAGCGTGCAGGTCATCTTGCCAGCAGCCAGACTAGTCATGTAATGCCCAAAAAATGCAGCCTAAGCAAAAACCTTTCTATAGTTTCTGATCACAGCTAAAACCAAACATTTCATATAATGCAGCATACCGGTACTTAG